GAATTGTGAAAAAATAAGTTTGCGAAAATGAAGAAAAAAAAGAAAAAATGAAGTCTGCTTTCTGGTTTCCTTTTGATGAAACGGGAACGGGAATGTTATAATGTTAATATAATAAATAGAAAATTTCATATTTTATATTATCCCGTGTATGCTAAGGAAGTGAGTATATTGTTGACGGCTTTAGTAAGAATGCAATAATAAAATGTTCAACTATCGCAATAACAACAATAACAATATCTTAAACATTATGATATTGTAACCGCAAAGATGTTGAACAAGTTGTCTTATCGCATGTGCATAGTAAGTAAAGCAAGTAAATGCCCGCTAAATATAATCAGCCACGATTGACATAACACTATAAAGCAACATTCGCGCGTACGGTTCGTGCAAGCGTTATGTGCCAAAAGCATTCGCGGTTTATAGTAGAATTTACTTATATACAGCTGCGATGTATAATAGCACATACGCCCGATAATCAATCAAATCACTCTAATACACTGAAAATTTTCATACCAGAGACCATTCATTGACGGTGGACTTTGTTACAATTCACGTAATCTCTGGGAAAAGCCAAACTTCGACACAAATATGAAATGAACTTGTCAAGCGCGTTAACAGCAAATACACACCTTTGCGATAATATAGCTCGAGATAACACATCACGTAATTTCACCTAAAATCTGATTTGATTTCGTCGAATGTTAAATTCATTTGGGCATTGAAGAAATGTTGATTAAACAACATGCATTGTTCAACTTATTCTCAAGATGTCTAATCGATTAACATATATTAAGTTTGTTAAGTATTAACAGTGAAAATAGCATTAATTATTTTCAAAGAACAAAGCAAAGCAGATGCGCTTGAATGGAAGCATTGAATTAAATTAACAAAGTTTGATCGGCAAACAAGGAAGCAGTAGGTAACAGCAACATTCAATAAAGAAAACAGATATTGGTATGAGAAAGAGGCGAACGATCTTGCGAACAACTGTCCGAAACTTGGCCTTTTCTTAAATCATTTCGATCTGTTTCCAATAGATGCCAGTTTTCACTTTCCATTTCATCCCAGTTCAGATCCAGACAACATTAACGTAAATTAATTTAATATTAACAATTTTGATTACTTTAAGAACATATGAACGGTTGGGCAAGCAACGAAAAATCTGGCAAATGTATCGACAAAGAATCGAAATAGCAAAGACATCAAAGGAAAATCGGATAAAACTTGAAAATGAAGAATAAGCCAGCGATAGAGATAGATAAAAATACATATACAGTCCAACCTGTTTTTGTGCGGTAGATAGGGACCGCAGAAAAAGAATCGCACAAAAAACAAATATTCAAAAACTTCATAAATAGCTATAAGAAATAATTGTTCACAGCGTATTAAAGAAAATTTTTTTTATGCGGTAGAGAGGGATCGCATAAAAAAAGTCTCACTTAGAAAATATGTCAAAGCTTCACGAAATAGCAAGAAAGTGCATTCCAAACAAAATAAATAATTAAATTACACATTGAAACATTTAAAAAAATTTTAATTTCTAATTTTAAACAAGGAGAAATTTTCAAAATGTACATAATTCAATACTACTCGTCGTAGTTCAAAACGCGCATATTTTTGCGATGAACTGGTTCGTAATCGCTTTCGTCACTTGAAGATACTACAGTTGATTTATTTTTTGTTAACATGTAGTCGGTGATAAGTTTTTGCGACGACAGCTGTTTGTAAACGTCGCGATAGCCAGATATACACAATCGAAGCTCATTTTGGAATTTCAAACTTCTTTGAGAATTGTTATCTATTTTAAGAAAATGCTTTTCCAATTTGCTGCAAAGCTGGATCCCTGCATATATTTTATCCGCTGTAATAGATTCCGGTTCTTCTTGTCCGTCTTCATGATCTGTTAAGTTATTGATAATGTCACTATCATTTACGGTTTCGTCCTCAATCATTTCAATAAGATCATTTTCGCTGAAAGAGTCAAAACCTTCTCCGCAGATTTGATGTGCTAGCGCAATGATATCTGATGATAAAGTGGACGAGTTGTCGGTTACATTTCTATTAATGACACATTCAGGCCAGACCGTATGGTATAGGTATGATATGGCTGTTGCAATGTGTACATACACACTGATAGCAAAAAAAGTGATGCCAACACAGTTCAGATTGACCTAACCTCTCGACGAAATTCAATGTGTCGATATTCATATACCGCACAAAAAAAGAATCGCACAAAAAGAATCGCACAAAAAAAGCGCATAAAAAAACACCGCACAAAAACAGGTTGGACTGTATTCGTTAGGTGTCATTTCTGTCATATCAGTCAGCAGAAAGTAATCAAGACCTTGATAAACGCATTTCAGGTAATCGTAAAGGCATTGAGGTCTTCTTCATACCGTCGGGGTAAAACGAACGAACTTTCTATCCAAATATGCCACCATAGCTATGTCGCCGGCCCATTTGCTTCATATGCGTTGTACTATAAAACCCAAATAAATCAGCATGAGTCTGACATAAATTCCCGTCGATTTTTTTTTATAAATTTCTGGAAACGTATTACGTTAATCTAATCTTATCATCTAGGTTTTCGTTATGCTTTTTTACGTTCATTGCATCTACATACGTCCATCCATTCGGTTACTGTTTTTAAATCGAATCAGTTCCCATTTTTTAAAAGGTTTTTCCCCCTTTTCCTCGTAACTGAGTTGATTTTGATAAGAAATTTGAGAAAAGATTTAACAACTAAATATATGCCCGTATATATCCAATAGATGCATTTCTAGGCCTATGCAGAGCACATGACAGCGTTAAATATTCACGGACACACAATTATGGAAGGTTATCGTTAAAAACGGTACGGTTGACAACTCAATATTTTAAAAATATAAAGTAAACAAATAACATGAAATAAATGCTGTAAACGAGCAGCCTTGACAATATTTATAGCTTGGGAAGTAATGAATATCCAAGCATTCCATCAGTGCTTTCTTACTGCATTCTGCCAACATCTGGTACAAACTCATCTGAAACTACTTGGAATGAAATAAGTTCCAAAATAAAAATTTTGATCGCATAGGAGTGAGGGCGTTGTAGGCGCGTCCTTACAAAAGTATAAATCACTTCCAAACTCTGTGGCAAACTAATGGGAAAATGTTTACCACAAACACTACTACATACTCGGGCAGCCAGACAGAAGGACATGCTTGGGTGCATTGCATATTTGAAACTGACCAAGAATTTATATACTTTATGGGGTTTTTGAAGCTTGTTTCTGCGCCTTAAATTTTGATGCACTACAACCTTGGATGGCTGTTCTCACTTTTTTCTACGATCGACCATAGTATATTCGTTTAAATTTTCGTAGTTTTATCCGCTCTTGCTGATATGCAAAGAGCATAACATCAATTTTTTACACCTTTTTGGAAAACTTAAGATGTTCTCAGTTTAAGTGGTGCTGTGGGCATGTCCATCGACCGATTTGGCTCATTTCCGATACCAACCTGCGTGCAAGAACTTGTAATATTTCTGGCAAATTTGAAGTCGACAGCTAGATGTGTGCGCCCAGGAGAATGTTTACAACAGACGGATATACGGACATGCTTTAATTGATTTACAATTTGATGCTGATTAAGAATATATACACTTTGTGCGATCTCCGAAGTTTCCTTCTGGGTGTTGCAAACATTTTGACATAATTAACATACCCCTCATCCTTAGCTGATGGGTATAAAAAGAAAATCTTATACTTACTGGATATATTCACCATTTTTCATGGATATTTAGGTTTCTTTTTAAACTCGCTTTCTTCAAACGTTGCTTTGAGAAACAAATTTTAACGTTTCATGTCATGTTTTTACAAATTTGTTATGTTTTCGACAATGTCGTAATACTTCATAGTAATCGTCTGGAATATGCAAGGGCTGGGTGTTTTCGCGATTGCCATTTGTAAAAAAGAAAAAGTTTTTATAAGACATTGTCTTACTTTTTACTCGATTACAATTTGCACCGTAGTCCCCATGCATGTCTATTTTACGCCCATAACGATCGTATGTTTAAAAAGGCATTGTCACGTTCACTACATTTAATTTACAATTAATAGATTTAGCTTGCATTCTAAGCATTCTGTAGGTAGCAAAACGATTGCTGAGCAAAGAATGCTGAGTGCATTTTCATGAATATGATCGGAAAAAGAGGAAAGTATAAATGTCGTTACTTCCTATTCCTATATGAACTGCGAAACTTTTTTTCTATTCTCTTTCTCTTTCTCCTTCCCTTTCTCTTTGTTTGCCGTCAATCATTCTTTAAACAATTAGTGAACATTGTATAGACAGACGAAGCTATTAATCCACCTAAAACGATTCGAAATAAAGCGCTTGTGCTCGCAAGTGGATTTTCTTTTATTTTTCTCTTTTCTTTTCTTTTTTTTTTTTTGTGGTTTTCACACAAAGCTAATGCGCTCTGCTCGGTTGATGTAGTAAAGAAATAAAAAAAAAAAAAAATTGTTCTTTTTCACAGTCACGTTTTAGTTTTAATTCGTGTTTAGAAAGTTACGAATATAAATTATTAATATCTCACAACTACATCTGCTAACTGCATACTACCTGTCGAGAATTTCATAAACATTACGCCAAACATTTAATTATATGTAACGACCGCAATCATGATAATAATGTTAATAATTATGATAATAAAGATAATTATTATTTTATTATTATTATAACTCCCAAGCATAATAAAAACATATGAAACTTATATATGATGCTATATATACATAAAAAAAAAACGGGAATTAAATCCTATATATATTCAAACACTCTCTCGTCACGTTATCCTTTTTTTTTTTTTTGCGTTGTTTTTTTTTGTCTCTTGGTTTTTTTTTTTTTTTTTTTTTTTTGTGCAACAAAACTGTTTTGTGAAACAAACAACTTTTAGCACAAAGCACGATTCACTTATATGTACATAGATATATACATATGTATGTACATGATAGAATTAATTACCTGACAAGTTGCCTTCGTCTGTTGCATCTCTATAGCTCTTCAGTGCCATTATGTTGAGTGCCTGTAAGCATTGTTTGCGTCTTGTTGGATATTCACTGTCGGATAACTCATGCCGCACATCTGAATTGCAAATTAAAACCACCAGATCCTTTTCACCGGCAACAAATGGAATTTGGAACATTTCCAGAGAACTAACGAGAAATGCGAGAAACAAACAAAACAGCAACAATAAATTAAATCAACAAAAAAAAAAAAAAAAAAAAAAATAGATAAAATACCAACTAGTTTAACTAAGGATGACAAAATTGCATATGAATATATGAAAGAAAGTATTGTTTGCATATATATACATACATACATATATATATATATATATATATATATATATATATAGACAAAATATATAAATATATATATAGAATATAATAGAAAATAGAATACTCATCATATGTGCGTTCAAACCTAAGCATATGTATATATAAAACGTAGGTATTTCCATTATACCCTTGTTTTTAAATTGATTATTACGACTCTCTCTCTCTCTCTCTCTCTCTCTCTCTCTCTCTCTTTCTTTTTATGGAAAATATGCAAAAGGAAAGACTTTACATCCCAGCCATAAGGAAAAATTTTTTTTTTTTTTTTTTTTTTTTTTTTTTTTTTGGTTTCCCCCCCTTTTTTTTTTCCTTTTTTTTTTTTTTTTTTTTTTTGGCTAATGATAAATTTCAAATGTGTTCTTTTCTATTATCATATGTGTGTACATGCGTCTGAATAAACGTGAATGTGTATGTAAACTGAATTACAACAACGATAAAACTGAAATTGCAAATTAGCATCTGTGAGCTTTATAAGCGTTCAACTTCACTTATACAAATGTCTTTGTTTTATAAATATGTTTAATACATACGCATACATATATATATATATATATATATATATATACATTTCTTTGCGTATAATAATAAAGCCTCGTGGAATAACTATTGTCGTTTTCCGACCAATTGTTTCTACTCTAAACGATAGGCGCACTAGGCGTATGGATATGCGTTTATATACAAATGTATGTTTGCGTGTATGTTAGCGCGCCTATTGGCCATTATAATAAATTCCCAAAACTATATTCCGTTAAGCTAATATACTCAGACTGCATTCAATTTTATTCTACATACAGTTATTTGCTGGAACAAAAATCTATAGAATAAGACCAGAATTGGTATCATCTAGAGGAACTTGTTTAATTTGCATAATAATAATTTGTTTTATATCCAACAGCATACATGTGCTTTCAAAAAGGAAACGAGTTGATACCTTCAACAGGGAAGGTTTCTCTTTTTCTCCTTTTTTTTTTTTTTTGCTTTATTAGATAAATCCTGAATACGTAGACATATTAAATATCATTCAGTTTTAATTCTATTCTCATAATTTATGTGGAGTAGTTAGTGAGATATCAAATGGTGAATGGAGCCATTTTGCAACTTTATCTCAAAAACATTTCATTACAAAGGTACGCGCATTGACCTGCATTTTGAAAACCAATCATCATAGAACAAAACAAAAAAAAAAAAAAAACAAAATCAGTAAAAGTTTTTTCCATGATTTTAGCCATTGAAAACTTTGATGTAAACATTTGCTCAAGGATTGTAATAGTTGTTGCCATACGTTGCCTTTGCCATATATTGGCTTCCATTTCGTAAACTTTACTCATAAATGAATGTTTCATTGGTCTATAGGAGAAACGATAAAATTTTTTTTATATAATTTGAAAACAGAAAATTATCTTCATTTTATACAAGCCACACATGCTTGCATACCTATTTAAATACATTTGAATACATTTGGCAAATACACTTAAACAATCTCTTTTCCACAAAAAAAAAAAACCGCATATGAATGATGTTACCGCGATTTTCTTCATAAGCGACAGCCGATCCAGGTAGAAGAAAGAAAATTAACTAAGAAAATTTTGCAATTTTTATTACGACATTTAGAAAATTGGAACGCCATCGTAAATTGCTGGGAAGTAGAAAGGAATTTTCTATTAGCGCAATAGATGTTTTAAAGCTTCTAGGAAATGTCAGAGAAAAAATTTTTATTTAAATGAAATTTTTTCTTGGAATTTCGCAGCTTTCTCTCCAAATGCTACGAACAGATTGCCTCACTCAAGTGAATACCTATCGAGGCTTCATAGGTGACGTGTTGCTTTCTAACCTCTCTATTACGGTATAAGAGACATTTTCACAAAACATTTCTTTTTTTTCATGTGAAAATATTTCGAACGAAAAACACATACTAGGGAAGCACGCATCGAGTCGGACGTTAAATAGATATGCAGCTGAGAACAATTCGAGGTAATCCGACTACTTCTACAAAAATGTTCAAAGTTCTGTTTAAAGTGCTAGCTACGAATTTGGCTGTAGAATTATATATTTTCTTGCCGTTTGTTGTATCATTCTGCAACATGTAAAACTGGAAAACGTGCGAGTGCCTCGCACTCGAATTGTAAAAAAATGGTTAAGAGTAATAAGACTTTAAACACGGTGTTCAAACGGTTTTCCCCATTATCTCTAAAATAACATTCTAAAGAGGACTCGGGATATATATATTTGATACGATAATTTCAGCATTCATTACTTACCAAAGATTGGCATTTTGTTTAACTTTGTCAGTTCAAATACACGCAAACCATACAAAAATCAGTTGTTTAAAGAAGATCTCTAAGCCTTTCTATAGCCGTAGCCATGTAGATCAATTTATTTATAGTAGGATATACTAGGGTAAGTTGTTGCGAATGAATGCAATGCCGAAAAGGACTTGAGGTAAACTCAATCTATATCATCGATCGATTCAGATTCACTGTTTGAATCTGATTTAAGCTTGTCTGTCCGTCGTTCGGTTGGGTCCAGCTCCTGAATAACCTCTCCGTTCCTACGAAAACGGAATTTCTATATAGTAAAAAGTTCTAAATTTCAGCATTTCACTTCGTGAATAGTGGACGTCGACTCGCTATAGACTTTTTAGTTATTTTTAATTCGTATTTATTTTATAAAATGAAGCAATCCCTCAAATTTTGTTGACACAGCTTTAGTAAATTTTCCTTTAATGGCTCTATGTACCATTTTTCGAACGGCGTCACAATTTTTTTTTTTTTTTATATAGGTTTCATAACGAATGCTTCCCATTTTGTCCTTTTCCTTACATTATACTTCTGAGAATGCATAGACTTACTTTGCCCAAAAGAAGAGTATTATGATTATATTTATGCACAACAATATGTTGAGATACTTAGCAGTGAACTCGCGAACAATTCAAATATGCATTACAAACATGTAAGGTAATGTGCGGGATAAATCGCGATAAAAAAAATGCTTTCTCTATTATTTTAATTCTCTTAGCTTGATAAAGTAAACGTTGCGCTTGGCATAAGTAGCCGAGAAGGGAAAGAATCGCGACATCGCGCAAGTCAATGATTGCGGATTTAAAATCTCAAATGCGATAGAGTTTTCAACACAAGCGAGCATATGATCCACGTGATCCAGCACAATTTACTATCCGTACATTGTAAAATAAATAAACGTTGCATATTTCGTTACAAACTTATCATAATGCGACATGTCAAGTTACGGTACCTAAGAGCAAATGTCAACCCAAGAAAAAGACAAAAACCTGCAGTAATTGTGGACAATTTTTCAATAGAAAGTAAAAGAGTATAACCTTGGATCGTTAACAGCCCAAGCTACGCTTGCAAGCTACCTATTTGGTTCAATTTAATTTGTCGTATTGTTCGGAAATTTGGTTGCCAGCCAGCTGATAACCTGCTTTTTTCTTTCTATCTATATCTATTATAAATTTCTATTACACGAAATTCTCCGTGCAGTCACGAATAATTCTTACTTTATTGCTTATAACATTTCAAAATACTCTACCGCTAAATGAAGGAATAAAAAATTCATGACTTGACTTGTGAGCCCTGACAACGCCGATCAGCCTTCGTAAATCAATTAACTTTTCCTTCTCTATAAAATACATTTAATATATATTTATAAATTTTCAAAACCGATATATATATATATATATATATATAAAATTAAGTACTAACGTATATAACGTATATATAATTGTTGGTAATCTTTGTGTATATTATAATCCACTTGCATAAGATATAAAAATGAGAAATGTTCTAGCTGGAAAGCGTGCAAGGTTGGAAGAGAAATTGAAAAGATAAATATCCTCTGAGTTGAAAGATTGAAACGATTAACGCTTTACAATAATTATACGCGATTTTGTTTCCTTTCATTATCATTATTATTACTATTATTATGCGCTTTAAGGCAGTATATCCAAAATTCGTTTCGATTCGGTTAGTATTTATTTTCTTTCGTAAACATTAGAGTAATTTATAGTCATGGATCTACTCCAAAGCTGTTTGTGTCGATATTTCTAAATAAATATACAAAGTTATCAAACAAAAGAATGTACTTTTGTGCTGCTAAAACAATAGAAACTTTTGCCATTAGTCACAATTGCCAATAATATCATATTCGCTTCTCCACATCGTACATTCATTCCGAATCGAGCAAATGGCAATGACTTTTTTTTTAAGCATATTTTTTGCATTCGCTATAGGATTATAATAAACGGATGGTATATCGATTTTATTATATCATTTGTAACACGGAGATACAAAACATCCTATCAATAAATTCGTAGGATAACTATTGACCGCAAAGGTAGCATATGTAGTCGTAAGCAAATAAATGCAATATCATAAAATTATTGACATGTTTCGTTCGAAAATTGGTATTATCTACAAATGAAATGGATTGGTTCACTGTGACGGCATTTACATGCCCTCTTACGTACTTATTGAGCGTTTTGTTATGCCTCCCGAGCCTATAAACTTTAAATGTTCGATAATATTCATGTGATATACCCATAATCACGCCTTTACAAGACTAAAACCACATTCAGACAGAAGCGCAAATTGTATCCACAAAGTCTACTGTATAATATTTTGAAATTCGGATCCGCATAAGAAAGCTCCAATTTTAAGTAATAGTGTCGATCATCTAACTGAAGCCCAGATTCTTTTTAAGTAAAATTACAGCTTCGATTATCTCTTTATACATCTTTCATTGAACTGTTGAGTTAGGCAAAATTTCAGAATTTCATAATTAGAAAAGTAAGGTTATGTCAAATTTGTTTATTATTATTTCTAGATAAGTAATAAGTAAACAGCGCACATTGCGTATGAATAAAATTAAAACGACTGCTAACTTTCTCATAAATGAAATCTTCTTTACATTTGCATTGAATTGAAGGCGTTACATCATTTCACCTCTCTCGCTGAAAGTTCGGTAAGTTATGTCATCATTACAAAAAGAAAGGGTTTTTGTTATTTGTTTGTTGTTTAAAAATGAAAAACGGCAGGCGGTATTTTTTCGCTTTAAACAAAAATATAAAAAGCTATCTCAAGTCGAATCCGTTTACTACAAAATTATCATATCATTTTTAAACCAGGGCAATAAAGATTCAACCTAAGCCAAAACTAATTTTTTCATTTCTCCTTTTATTTTCATTTATTTATTTATTTCTTTTTATTTTTTTATATATATATTTTTTGTTTTGTTTTTTTTTGATTTATTTATTTATTTAGTTTTTTTTCATTTTTTTTTCTTTTTTCAGCGACAATATTCCTCAAAGCAATGCAGCATAAAATCGCTCATACGTTTATGTGCATAATGCATACATTAAAACAATACTCCAATATAAGAAATTTATGATAATATAGGAAAACTCACACATTAGAAACGAATTGTATATCAAACAAACAGAAACGAAAATGATTTGAGTCGCAAATGCAAGCATATGCACGTCGTTTATAATATATTTGATGTCAATGTACGTACACATATACAAACAGCAGTCTTGTAGAGAAATGATTTGGCAAAGCACATTAACTGAAGCATAACGCAAATGTCAACATAAAGGATTTAGCTTTGCTGTAGAGAACGTATACATGAAATAAGGCAACCAACTGCAACAATAATTTTTTTTTTTTTTTCGAATAAAAAAAAAAAAAAATGGTATTAAAAAATCTTCAAAGTAGAAAATAAAGTTAAAAATAAGTCAAAAACAAAAAAATAAAAAAACAAAAAAAAAAAGAGAGAAAAAAAATTTGCAGTGTTTAGCAGTTTTCTCTCTATAACTGCGTATGCGGTATGTTGAATGCTACATTAGCTGTCAACAACAGTGTGCAAACTGTCACACAAAGTATAAACAATGTTATATGCTTATGAAAATTGCCAAAAAACGCAGTCATCTGTTTACTGACAGCGTGGTGGCATATTTTGCGTTACTAAAAATTGTCATTCATAAAAATGAACAAAAGAGATTTTTATTTTTCGAAAAAAACAAAGCGAAATAAAGTTACATTTAACTTTGTTCGACTCTTGGATACCCATTCACTGAGCACACGGTCTTCCTTTTCCTTGTAATTTACTTCCTTTTCTTTTTTTTTTTTTTCTTTCGTCTTTTTTTCGGTTTCGGTCAGTGTACCACAACTTAATTACATAAATATTGAGGCCACTTATAAGTTTGTAGTGGAAAAATTCAAACAATTGATTGCTTTATACTATCTGAGATATATGTCCGTCAAATGCGAATTGGAATCAACTAAAATCTTAGTTAATTAAAAAATATTCAAATTATGCTTAAGTCCATAAACCAATATAGAGAATTTTCAAGTACATAAAACTTCTCCAAACACAATTGTAAATACTTCCAAACAGTCATTTGATCAAAGTTGAGATTATATCTGGCCCTCGCAATTGCCACGAGCTGGTTGCGATCGAATAAACTCATAAACTAATTGCCATTCGTAAGGATTGAGCGATCAGATCAAGAAACATTGTGAAGAAATTTCACGAGTCATATACGAGATTTGCTTCCGCCCGGGCCATATTTTACGTATATATAACGTTTTCTAAATTTCCCCATGTATTTTCTCCTTATCGATACGACAAAAAGCTAAATGCCATGGCAAGTGATTGATAGTATGATGAAGAATTTTCTAAATTGCACGCACATATCTCATCTCTCACTTAATTCATGGCATACCGAGTCGCAAAAACAAGTGCAGACAATGTCACTCAAACTTTCCCCAAAGAATTATAGGCAGATGTAATGCTTATTTTCGTTGGTTAAGTTATTCTATATATCTTCTTCGTTGTCACTTTAAACATACTTGCGAACCTATCGCGTCGATTTTCAAATCTACCCTACGATCTACGATGTAGTTAAAGCTGTACATATCATTATTTCAAATTTTATCTCAATTTTAAAACTGCCGTCCGAATAAAAGACGAGTGAATGATGATGAAACTATGCACTGCCTCAGAACAAATTGCGATACGTGTACAATTTATAAAATAAAAAGTTGTCATGAAATTTTTGAAAAAAAATTTTTTAATGTCCGTTTGTGCATCACTTACCAGCAATCTATTAATAAAGCGCAGTCCTTCTTACCGCACAACGATATAGTTTGATCCATAATACCACAAGGCATTTCAGCGAAGTTATGTTCAGCTGCTTTGCAAATTAAAGCACGCTTAGCATCACTAACCGTACCGTACCATTAAGCACATAAAGGAGAACGAAATAAGCATTACAAATATAAAAAATGAGAATTTTCCATAAAACAGTTTACAAACATCAACATAAACATGATACTTGCTTTGGTAGCTTGTGGCCTGTAAAATGTTCCAGAAATGTCAATGTGGCCACTTCAATGGCAGCACTAGACGATAAACCGGCTCCCACCGGCACATTACTCACAATGACCGCATTAAAGCCAAATGGCATTTCTCCATGATCCTCCATAAAATAGTGAATAACACCTTTCACATAATTGGACCATCTGTATACATATATTCATAAACACACATACAACACATATAAACATTTAAGTAAGAACCTCGTGTTTACTAGAGTAAAAGTTGAGACTTATATACCCTTCGGCTTAATGGGTAGAGTTTTTCAGTTATCTAAGCACAAGCTAGCATAGAGAGCAAACAAAAATCGACTTGACAATGCAAGGTCATAAAAATACATATAAAAAAAAATAATAATAATAAAAAAAAGATTGTGGCAAAATGCAAACATTTCATTGTTTGTAAAAACTAAAAAGTTTACTAAACGATCTAAGTTTGAAAATATGCATCAACCGCAATATCATCATTATAAGCAAAAATATTGTAAACATCATCAACGCCAGTAACGTTATTATCATAATGTTTACAATTTTTCTACTGAACTTTTTCTACGTTTGCTTTCAATCGCTAAGGAAACTTGTCCAAATTGCCGTCATAGTAATCTAAATACTTTCGTTTTAGAATAACTTTAGCCTTTTTTTTCTGTTTAGCATAAGGCTTTCGAAAAATTCATTAAGATTTTGAAAAACAAACGAAATTTTAAAAAAGAAATTCAAAACAAATTTTCCATTAAATACACAAATAGTTAAAAATCATAACACATACATACATAAACTATGCCATATGAAGTGCGAATGTCGATCTGAATCGCAACTTGAAACAAACACTTTAAGAGAAGAACTAACAGCATAATAGTCGGGCATGGCTGATCTTTGAATACCGTACACCACATTGTCTAATACAAGTCTGATTTTTGTATGAAATTACTGTAACGGATCAATTTTTATCATCACATATTAAAACTTAGACTTTTCTACTCTACAAAGGATCGATTTTCGTGAAAAACCTTATTAGGGTCGGATGCAAAAAATAGGCTGAGATAGTACAAATTTCGTACAGTTCATTTTTTTATATTCAATTACTATTATGATATAATTTGCATCATGAAGCTTTGAAAATTAAAGGTCGTGAAGAAAGATTCGCATTTAACTAGCAAAGACACCTACCATATTTGTTAACAGAGCCTTAACAGAGCTTTGTCAAATATTTAAAATTAAGATATAGCTGGATTTGAAAGCCTACTTCGTCCATATTACAACAACGTAAAATATTTTAGTGGACGTGTCATGAATCTATATGAAAATATCTTTCAAACAAACTAAACAAATTCAAATTCCGCTTAATGGAAGTATTTTTAAAAATTCTTTGAAATTTACTATATTAGCGAAAAATGGGTGTGGAAGGTGCGGCCAAACTTGAAAATGTCGCCTATATTCACCTCTATCCCGTGAATGTATGGGTGGTTGTGTACTCTTCTATTTCTATTTCCACTCCTACTGCGACTGCGGTCGCGAAAAAAGTTAATTACGGACGACCATACACCAGCACACCACCCACCTCGCACAATCACTGGCTAATTTTGGTAATAAGCTTTCATGAAAGCATATTAAAGCAAAAAATTATTATTAGACCTTTTTACCCTATAAAAATTCCACTTTCATAGGAACGGCTATATAAGAGCGGGATCCAACAATTACTCCAACGGAATCAAATTCTTCGTAGCAATTTAGAATGACGATACACTATTACACAGTGAGTTTTGTGAAAAAAATTTGAAAATTTGCAACTTTTTTCCACATAACGACACGGATATGGTCGAAAAAGTAAACCGATCCCGACAATTTTCAATAGCGTTCGATCTCTAAGTGGGAGTTGTATCGCCCGATTCAGTTCATTTTCGATTGGATTCGTCCTTTGGGCAAAGCATGTCGGCGCAGGAAATTGAACAGACAGACGGACAGTTGGGCAGACAGAGGAAATCAAATTAAATAGATTCGGACCATGAGTCTGAATATATCGATGTTGAATTATTTTGAGTGCTTGTCGCTATTATAAACATCCGCACAAACTTAATATATCCTGTAGCATAAGTGCTGTAGAAAAGCTTTTCCTTTCTAAGTCTGATACACTTTTGCAGTAAAATGCTCAACAAATATCTTTTTTTTTTAAAGTGAATTTCAGACAAAAAATATTCCATACGTTCGCCAACGTATGCAAATACTGCCATTTCAAAAGAATCCAAAGGAACAAGGAATCCGTGAGCAGAGGTAAACATAAGTTAACTCAAAGAATTTTACTGAGAAAACTGGGAAAATGCAAAGCAAATAAATTAAAAGAAAAAAAAGTAAATACTCAGACACAAATTGAAAGCCTTACAGTTTGTCACCTTATGTGACAAGAAGTAAAATAAATAAAGTAGAACAACGATACATATTCTTAGCGATACATAACTACTTCGGGAGAAGTACGTTGTGTTTATTTACGCTTATCGCGTGCCTATCGCTTACGTTAGCTTAGTGAAGCGACAGCAAACTCCAGTGATACACACTAAAAATTTGATAAATATGAGAATGGGCACATCTGAATATAATCAGTGTTAGATTCACTCTATTTTCGGCATTACCAATTCCCTCTGTCTATTTATTTGCTTTTCGTTCATTCATTCGTCCGTTTCTTCGTTTGTTGGCGCCCTCAAAGGTCATATAGGAAGTTGAAAGTTGATTTGAAAATGACCCAACTCTCGTCGCAAGTGAATATATACGAAATGTTTTAAAGGACTTCAAGGCCCACTTTCACAGAAATAACAATAGCTTTTGGATCAAAATTGTTGTTGTTCTAACCAAGAAAGTTTGCTTATAATGCCTTTGACCATTAAATCGTTGTACATTCATTTTGCGTTTGCTTATTTGGATGCCATCAAGTGTAAACCCAATAAAAATTTCATTTCCAACATTGAATTATTACTCATATTCATTCCTAGTGCAAGCACTGTGACATTTTGAGTAAACATACGCAACTTAGAAACAAGTCATATGGAATATAGCGTAAAGCATAATTAAAAAAGTATTGAAGGATAAATGTGAAATATTACCGTTCCGTGAGAAGATAATAAATGGATGGATAGTGTCTCAATCTTAATACGATATTGTATCTAAAGAGTTGCTATAAGGATATCAACTTACAAAACTTCGGATTCTTTTCACATTCATTTCATATTTATTGGAAAGAAAACACGTTTATGCGATCGCGGTTCAGCTATTATAACTCGCTCAACAAAAGCGAAATGTCCTTCGCTGTGAAGCTCCTATAATTTTCTGAATAGATTGCGAACTGTAACACAAGATGCATAAAGAAGCTTTAATCAGCCCATAGATATAAGCAGCTGGATAAGATTAGTTGGTGAGTAACCAGGATTCTCCGCATTACGAATATAATTTTCGTAACTGCATCTTGTATAAGGACATCGGTGTGATCAATGAAATTCATCAAGGCTTAGAAATGTAATTCGTAAAATTAGAACAGTGTCAGCAAAGGAGCGACAAAGGTGCAAGAGGTTTGAACTCAAACTGAATACAATATTTTTACGCACCAAACTGTGACAGTTATATACGTGTTATTAAAAAGTTTGCAATATATTCAAAAAAAACTTCAAAGACACTTTTGATCAACTTCAAAATCTAAAGCAGTTTAAGCAAGTTCTTCAATAGGACTGTCTATCGGTCCGCTTGCGTGATATCTGTTGTAAGCATTCTCCCGATCGCAAGCATTAAGATGTCGAGTTCAAATTTGGCAGAAACGCTGGAATTTCTTGAACATTTGAAGATTGGTAGTGAAAATGGTTTAAATTTCAAAAAGAACACGCCTACAATAGAATTGTCTTCTTCACTCTCCGGCTTTTTTGTTCGCTCCTCATAAAGTATAACAGACACATGTTAAAAATTTCCGGATATAATCAAAAAAAAAAAAAAAAAAAAATCAGCCACGCCCACAACCAATATTGCAGAGTATAAAAATGTAGTATATTCGTTTTTCATTTCTTATTGTTTTTTTTTTTTTTTTACAGCCTTTTTGAGCGTAAAAAGTCGTAGGTATATAAAAAATTCGATCATTGACGAGCATAATTTTCTTGCTTGTTCACTTCTCCATTATTTTTTTTTCGAAGAATATTTAAAGCAAACCTGTGCAAATTTTTGCGTATCTTGCCCTTGGAAATACGTTAGAATTTTCTAAAAACAAAAGAAAAATTTAAAAAAAAAAAAAATGCTTACAGCTATCTATAAGAAAGTTAAGAAAACATTCACTTTCCTGAAAACGAGATGCGCGGTACGAAATAGAAATTTGTTACTTTAACGTGAACATATTCATGGAAAGGGTTAACAATTGCGTTTAGTTTGCATGCATAATGAATGCGAAAGATTTGATGAATTTATTCGAAAATTTCCAAATTCAAAAAAAAAAAAAAATGAAAAAAGAAAAAAGGGAAAAAGGAGCTAAAAAAACTGTTTAACTAGGCGAATTAATATAGTGACGTAAACTTACTTAGGTTTCTCGCTTGGCTTTAAACTGAACAAACGAAATTTGACACGCTTCGGTTCATCAACATCGGTACAGCATGTAATTAAATCGACATCATTTCCAACACGTTGACCTCCAACAATGAGAGTAACCATAGGCAAAGCCTAAGAGAAGTAAATAACGCGAGAGAGCGGGAGAAGGAAATATTTAGCAAAAATTGGTTTTGAGTAAAATGCATTGCAACCAAAATTAAATGCGATTCTTTTCCATTTCTGGCTAATTAGAAAATTGTACAACTCGTACAGTTTGGTATGTGAACGTTTGTGTATTTACTTACCGTCTTTATATAACATGCACTCAATTGGAATAAATTGTTTTCTTTTTTTTTTTTTTGTTTTTTTTTTTAACTTACCATCGGCAAAACAAAACCATCATTGTAGTCAACATGTTCACCAATCAAATTAACACGTCCCGGTGCACAGCAGGCAAGCTCTGGCTCTACGCCAAAATTTTGACGGAATGTCTCTTTGGCTGTTTGCAAAAGCTCCTCCAATGTTGGCAGTTGTTTAATTTGCTGCTTGCTAATGTTTGAAGACAATGATGATGACATCTCACTTTTTTTCAACTGCTATTATCAGTAATTACGGAAACGTTTATTATGTGGAAGCTGCTGATACCCAAACTCGCTAATGAAAAGTATCAAAAGAAGAGTTTTTTTCTTTTTTTATCACTTGAAATATTATTATATGTAATGTTGGGTGAGAGGCGTATGCTAATTGCAACTCACATAGTGTATCTTAAGCATTTTATAATATATTTTAATTTAAGCATATCAAGACTTCATATACGCTCATATATACTGATCTAATTTACTAATATATTCATTTCAAAGGTTAACCTTGCACTCACAAGAGACTTTTAACTATCGTAACTATGTATTTGTGCTTGAGATTCACAAACATATGTTTGATATGAAATTCATTCTTTTATGTCATATATGAGCAAGGGGGTGTACTTTAAATAATGAATCTCAAGAAGACTTGGCCCTAAAGCATATATTACGCATACAAATTTTAGATATCGTCAATTAGTTCAAAGGCGGTTTCGAGTGACCGAATTAACATGTAACCTGGCTTGCGATAGGCTAAGATAAATAAGATAAATACATTCTTTTTCATATTTTATCACTGACTCGGCCTGTACTTTACACTGCAATCAAAACTTAATTACGAGTACACTGGCGAATAATAGCGAATTATAGCTATAGTCCGGCCTATATCGACATAAAATTTAATTTAAACGTTCGGAGTACAAATCATATCAATTAAGTTGCAGGCACCTTCTCTAATAAAAAACGGCTAACACTATGTGAAAGATATGTCCATAGCTTTCTTAAATTCTTATTATGAGTACATCTGTGTGATATACAAAATATGTACGAGAATAGTTTTCCTCAAATAAGCGATCATCATTTCGATAAATCCGCGTTGTCAGGTGAAGATGAGAGGTGATCGCTTTAGTTGATAATCATAAAGTATTTTTGATTTCTTAAAAAGATTTGTATTTGCATCATATTCATGATCGCATACCGGGTGGCCTGAAACTCGAGCAGCGTGCGTACTAATTCGTTTCTGAATTGATACGTATTCTTTAATTTAATTATATCTCGCGTGATGTTTGGCTGCGGGAGCTTTTTACTACTTTCAAAACATTTCTCTTCACAAGGTTCGCTATAACCAACTAATCACCTGTGGAGACTCATCACCTATATGTGGAGTACTTTGTGCACTCTTAATGCTCCACACTCTTTGGTAGATATCTCAAATATCAAAAAAAAAAAAAAAAAAACCTAATCAAACGCATTCTTGCCCAAGTGTTATCCGACTCGAAGACTAATGATTTGTTTTCCCCATATTTCATTTAATAATAGCTAATAAGAAAGTTATTTTCAATGGCGGCCGAATCTCACATGCGCACCTCATCAACGCTTAGGATTTTAATGTACAAGAAAGCGGTGTTTTCTAAACACCTCATGGCTTTATATATAAAATGGCCGCCACAATTAATTCAGAATTAACAAAGTTGGCTTTTCGCATTCTACTTTCCAAGTCCTTTTATGTGATACCTATACCAATGGCATTATAACGAAAAAATTAGTTCACTACATCGTGACGTCCGGCATAGTTAATTTGAAACAAAAACCATTAACTTTGCGCATTCTACTCGTCAATCTCTTTTATTTGCTACCCATATCGTTGGTATTGTTAAAAAAAAAATTAATCCACTAGGTCGCGGTGTATATCATATTCATTTTAGAATTACCCCTTTTTAAGCAGGTAATATATTTTTATGAGAGAAATCTACAAAATAATTTTAAGCACTTTGTCCTTTTTGCCTTATGATAAAGTAAGGAAAATAAAATTTAATCATTTGTAATTTTGTGTGGGCATGGCCGGAATGTGGAATATTTAATTCTTCTAACTTTTATAATTTCTGAGTAACGAACAAAAACAAACTATTTTTCGTTAAGAAAAAGGGAGCTGCATTCGGTTCATGCTCCACTGCGGGCTTCTACTCTGATCAATTTGATCCATCTTCAATACCGATCTGCGTGCAAAATTTTCCACTGTTTCTAACAAATTTTAAGTCGACCAGGAGAATGCCCTTCGACAAACACCACACACACACACACACACACACACACACATGAGAACACGCACAAGCGGATAGAAATGGTTTAATCAATTCAGAATTTTACGTTGGTCAAGACTATATGCACTTTATAAAGACTCTGAAGCTTGCCTTTGAGTGTTACATACATTATGAGAAAAACAAACATTTTGTTCACACTTTTTCTCTTTTTTCACACAAATACATACTTCATGATTATTGTAAGTGCCTAAGTCCTTCAAAGAGAAAGTTGCGGCTGTCTCTCTCTCTCTCTCTCTCTCTCTCTCTCTTTCTTTCTTTCTCTCTCACGCTCAAAATTTATGAGAGAGGATCGCGCAAATTGATTGAATAACTCGTCTCATATAAACAATTATCGTCATCTAAAAGGGAATGGTGGTGCCCTATTTTCTTTGCTCTTTTGAAAAATCAAAAATGCAAGAGTCATGTACCTCCTCAATTTATTCAAGTCTTTTCCAAACTCATTTTTAGTGAACTCTGAAAGATCGGACTTGAAATTTGCACAAGTTCGCGCACAAGCGTCTTTTTTAATCGTCAAGTAATTCGAAAAGCTTAAAATAAAGCTTGCAACTTACACCAATACACATACATACATAAACATAATGAGTTCTGCACACCCTTGATGCCTCAAAAAGGACGCTTCTACCATCTTTATCAATAAATTTAAAACAAACAAAGTATTTTCGGTCGCTATCGACTCCTTTGCACTCATCACCGTTATCCTAAAAGAGACAAAAAAGGTAAAGGAACTATATTTTCATGTTTTATAATATGGATTGTCACGACTGAGTTTTTCTATTTTCAAAATGAAACTATTTGTCCTATAGGCATACGGGCGTTGAAGGCATGTCATTCGAAGACTGTGGGTCGCTTCTAAATTCTTTTACAAATTTGTAGGCGATATCTTCATTTATGTTAACGGGAGATTGTTAACCATTGACACTACACAGTTATTCAGATGGACAGACGGACATATGAATAGGCGGACAGGCGAAAATGTTTAGGTCCGTTCCAAATTTGAAACTGACCAAAAATTTACACAGGTTATAGAGTTTTTGGAGCTCTTCTCTGCGCGTTTAAAGGTATTGAAAAAAAAAATTAAATTTTGATATACCATAATATCGGATAGGCGCGGTCAATTTTTTTAATTTTTTCGCAGAAACATTTTTATGTTCCTTTTGAAAAACCGAGATTTTCCCAGCTTAGCTGTTACTTTGGGTGCGTCCTTGCAATGATTTGGCTCATTTTTAATGCGAAACTGCGTGCAAGAGCTCCTAATATATTTGCCAAATTTGAAGTCGGTAGCTTCATTTTTGCGACCAGGAGAATGTTTACAACAGATTTTACAGTTGGACGGAGACCCAGATGGGCAGACATCGATTCAGAATTTACAATTTGCTCGTCAAGAGTATGGATACTTTATAAAGTTTCTGAATCTTCTTTCTGGATGTTGCAAACGTTTTGACAAAATGAATATACCTCTTATTCTTCGGTGATGTTTACATATATTCATAATCAATCTATTATTGCCTTCAGTTCGATTCCCTTTTTCAAAATACTTCTCTTTCAAAGTTAATAGAATTCGTCATAATTGTAAGAGAAAAACGTCCGAGAGCGATGCTTTAAAAAATAATCAACCATAAATACGGCGCTCTTTCAATCTAACCCGGGTTGCTAAATAACGTACAAATTAAAATTTCTTAAGTGATTGGTCTAACTACACATTTCATTAACTTGCAGTACGAATTCAACCTACAATGATCCCAAATAGAACACATCGGTACATCGGTTCCGCAGTAACTAAGAATAAATGTACTTTGCTGTAAATCGTCAGCGCGGATTACGATGTGCTTGAGGTGTTTGGCAAAACGAAAGTTACGTTTATTAAGTAAAGGGAGTTTATTTTCCAATACTTTTCAAACTCCATATAAACAAAGTTTACTTGAACAAAGAACATTTATTCTTAGTTACTGCGGAACCGATGTACCGATGTGTTCTAT